GGGGCTGAGGGCCCCCGCCTCCCCTCCGAGTGCACAAATTTTTGTGCACCGGGCCTCTAGTATCTATTATAATGGACTTACCTTGGACAAACCTCTCCAAGAACACTTCCCTAATAATTCCCCTGGTAGAATAATGGGTCTAATCCAGGTGAGTATTTTAGGTGAATATTGTCTCAATATAGGAATGGATGAAATTAACTGCCCAGGAGAAAAATTGGAACTTCTGGACAATAGCAGATACTTGTTCCCCTCAGCTCTTTCCTTGTCAAATATTAGACAGTATCCGTTCCTAATCGATGTTATTGGTTTATTATTGTTACTTTTGTTCCTGGTATGTAAATGTGATACTAGAGGCAGAAAAACAAAACTTTAATTAAAAAAAAAAAAGAAAAAAAAAAAGAAAACATCTCACTACCTCATTCCTAAAAAAAAAATAAATAAATAAATTGCTGATTATATTTGATGATAGCATTTGAATTTTCTCCCTCCATGTTAGTTTAATAACTCAATTTACTTTTACAATTCACATGCAATTTACATTTACTAATATGTTGCTTAGTTGGCATATATCACATATTTTACATTAAAATTAAAAAATTAAGTATTAAGAATAACAATTATTATTCCTTCTTTGTTGTCTATGAATAAACTATCTTTAGAAATCTGAAAGAAAACGTTTACAATGTATCTGGAACTTGCTGCTGACTCTCTTTTCTAAGAACTTAAATTCACCAAAAATCTGTTACCTCAGCTTAAGTCACAGTGCTCTGAAAGAGACCCAAAGATTATGTCTATCTGTTGTTCAAAGACACAAAGAAATCAATAATATAGAAGAAATATATGCTTCATGTATACGTCTTCATTAAAAAAGAAAATACAAACTGGAAGCATGCTAAGAAAAACAAGCAAAATAAAATGTGCTTAATTAAACAGAAAAAAAAAATAGCCCTGTAATCTAAATCAACTAAGCCTTTAAAAATCATCCCAGTTAAAAAAATAAAAATTAGTTCTACTTAATAACATCTTTAATCATTAAGAGGGCTGGCCCTGATTAAATTCACAAACTAGGCCATTCTCCTTATGTGCGCATTTAGCAACTCACTGAATGCAGACCTCTTCACCCAGAAACACTATGGTATAATTTAGTGAATTTAGTTGTAGCTCCAAAGCCCATTCTTTTCTCCACTATGTCATGAATGGGAAGATATTTACCATTGTGGTAAATAACTTTATATATATTATCCCATGTATTCCTTACACACACTAAGAGAAGAATTATCATACCAAGGGCCACATATGTTATACTTGGCAGAGGCTGCAGGGTCTGATTCCAGGTAGGCCTGGCTCCAACGCAGTGAGAATCTATATTTCTCATCTCTTTTTATTATTATTATATTTTTTATTTTTCATCTCTTTTTTAAATAACAGAAAGCTGTTCCCATTTTTAGACTCTTTTCTAAATTAATACTAAGATAATTAAGATTCCCAAAGTTTTTATTTATTTTTTATCGTTTTTATTTTAGAAAAAGGAACATTGATATGAGAGAGTTGTCTCCCGTACTCACTCTGACTGGGGATCGAATCTGCAACCTGGGTATGTGCCCTGACCGGGAATCGAACCTGTCTAAAGGTTTATTATGAGATATTTCCATACTTACCAAAAAAATGATTTGCAAATGTTTACACTAAGAATTTATCCAAAATGGTTATGATGAGCCTAACATTGAAGTTTTTAAATATTAGGGTTTTACAATCCAATGTTATTTCAAAAATTCTTTTATCCAGATCATATAAATGGCATTTATTATGAAGCAAATCCTAAATTGGAAAATCAAGATTTGATTTACTAAAAAGGGCATATTTTATTTTAGTTAACAATTAAAAATATTTATCATAGAAAAGTCCCTTAGAAATAAAAGTATTTCACAAATTTAATTCTGTACTGCTTTAATTTTACCACCCAAACAATGTACAACTTTTCAGTAACACACAATATATCTCAAGATGGACAAGTAAACACTGGAGACCCTACCTTGTGCTGTTCGATGGCATCTATCCACTGTTGTCTGTGATCTGGATCCTGAGCACGAAGATACCAAACGCTATCATTTACACTAATATCAAATCGACATTCATCAAAATCATGGGGCTGTAGAGAAAAAAGTAGAAAGTGAAAAGCAAAACTAATTATATTCTTAGAAGTATCATACTCTACAGCAATAAACATAACCCATTCTGGCTGGTGGGACACTCTTGTTATTCTTTTGTTTTTCTACTCAAGTAACTTTTTCGTTCTTTTTTTTTTTTAATCCTCACCTGAGGATATTTTTTCCATTGATTTTCAGACAGAGTGGAAGGGAGGTGGGAGAGAGAGAAAACCATCACAAGTGACACATTGATTGGTTGCCCCTGTATGCGCCCAAATGGGGCCAGGAATAGAACCTGGAACTGAGGTACATACCCTTATATAGAACCTGAGACCCTTCAGTTCACGGGTTGATACTCTAACCACTAAGCAATCCAGCCAGGGCTCAAATAACTTTTTTGAAGGGTCCTCAGATGAAGAGTACAACAAGGGTAAAGTTACCAAACACTAAATTTCATTCACCATTCCTACAAATGAGGTGACACAAGCTATAAATATATTTCAAAAAAGTGTTTTTGATCAAATGCTCTTAGTTAGCTAAACTAATGGAAACATTACAAAGTTTTTATTTATTTTTTATTATCGTTTTTTTAGAAAAAGGAACATTGATATGAGAGAGTTGTCTCCCGTACTCACTCTGACTGGGGATCGAATCTGCAACCTGGGTATGTGCCCTGACCGGGAATCGAACCTGTAACCCTTTGGTGCATAGGATGACACTTCAACCATCTGAACCACACCAGCCAGGACCATAAAATTTCAAAAACCAATATAATACTAAAGCTAAAACAGAGATTAAAAGACGGACATCACCACCAGTTTTCTTTAGGCTGGGAAAAATTCAGAATCAATAATCAGATAATAAAAGCTAATGCATGATCAATATCAAGAAGAATGTGCCTGTGGTATCCAAGGTCAGACTGGTTTTTCTTGCTTTGTGTGTGTACATATTTTGCACCTCTCAACCAAAACAGGCGTTTCAACTACAACTCTATAAAACCCAAATGAACAAGTATAGGCAAGTATGTGAACATGTGCAAAGTTCCCTTGAAGTCACTCAGGAGTGGCATGGTAAATTTATAACTTTCCTTATTCCTTGGTTTACCATGGTATACTGAATTAACTAATAACGCAGATTTATTAATATCATAGCAGAAGTCAAAGACTAGCTTTAAATTACAAGAATGTGGCATGCATGTGTGTGTGTGTGTGTATATGTATGTGTGTGTGTATGTATGTATATATATTGTGTGTGTGTGTGTGTGTGTGTGTGTGTGTCTACCCATTCTCATGGGCCTTGTATTTCTAGAACTGGCTGGTGGGACACTCTTGTTATTCTTTTGTTTTTCTACTCAAGTAACTTTTTCGTTCTTTTTTTTTTTTAATCCTCACCTGAGGATATTTTTTCCATTGATTTTCAGACAGAGTGGAAGGGAGGTGGGAGAGAGAGAAAACCATCACAAGTGACACATTGATTGGTTGCCCCTGTATGCGCCCAAATGGGGCCAGGAATAGAACCTGGAACTGAGGTACATACCCTTATATAGAACCTGAGACCCTTCAGTTCACGGGTTGATACTCTAACCACTAAGCAATCCAGCCAGGGCTCAAATAACTTTTTTGAAGGGTCCTCAGATGAAGAGTACAACAAGGGTAAAGTTACCAAACACTAAATTTCATTCACCATTCCTACAAATGAGGTGACACAAGCTATAAATATATTTCAAAAAAGTGTTTTTGATCAAATGCTCTTAGTTAGCTAAACTAATGGAAACATTACTGAAAGCACAATTAAAAAAGGTTCAAAACAGACCAGCTGGGGTGGCTCAGTGGTTGAATGTCAACCCATGAACCAGGAGGTCATAGTTCAATTCCCGGTCAGGGCACATGCCAGGTTTTGGGTTCAATTCCTAGTAGGGGGTGTGGAGGAGATAGCTGATCAATCATTGATGCTTCTATCTCTCTCTGTGAAATCAATAAAAAAGATTTTTTTATTTATTTAAGAAAAAGGTCCAAAATAAGTCTTAGGAAAGACATTACATTTTTTCTGCCTCCATTATTTAAAAGTAAATTCTCATCATGAAGAGTTTGATTACATTAAATTTTATAAACAAGATATTTTTACATTCTATCACGAAATAGTTAACATTTTCTCCTAAGTATCTCAAATTAACTTCTAGGCTTTTGTATGTCTTTGATAGTGACAGTCAGGAGAGCTTTCAATGAAAAGCAAAGATAAAATGAATAATACATCAGACTTATGTTAGATAGTGGAAACTGCCTGCTTTTGAGTCAAAATGTAAACACAGTGAAAATGTCAACTATTTGGTTTAGTGTTTTACATTATTCATAAGAATGTATAAAATTAGTATCTTAATTTTTTGCCCAATAAGTGAATTACAATATTACAGAATCACATCATTATCTACTGGATAGAGTACAGAGATTCATCAATGTAACAGAAAACTTATTTGCTGAAGAAAATTTACACTTCGCATTTCCAGGGTTTATTGTTTATTTTCTTCCCCCTTAATAGCATCAATCTTTTATCTTTATCAATTTATTTAGCAAAAATTATAGAACTCCACAATGTTCTTTAGCCTATGAAACTATTTCTTTTAAGATTAAGACAATAAACCACAGTTCTGACTGGCTAAAGTATACACATTAAACATTTCCTGAATCACTATGTGCTGGCCTCATATGACTACTAAAGGCCTGGTGTGCGGATTCATGCACTGGTGGGGTCCCTTGGCCTGGCCTGCGGGGATCAGTGGACCTCCGCACTGCTGCAGTCTGGCCTTACCCGCCAGCTCATTGGGCTCCAGCCTGCTGTCTGAGTTGAGCACGCACAGCACGAAGTAGTGTGCAAAGTGGCGCTGGGGAGAATTCTGAGCCTGGGCTGGGTGCTGCGCCGCTCCTGCTCATCCCACTCCACTGCACCTGCCCCCAAATGGGGCTGAAAACAGGGCAGCCTGAAAGTGTATTTAGGCTACAGCAATAGTTCTTCTTTAGAAAAAAATACAATATAATTAAATTTTCTATTCAGTTGTACTTCCATGATACTACATCCCACTCAACCAGAACTGTGGTACTACCAAAATCTATCCTAGCATATTCTCTAAAATTCATTATTTCTTAAAATTTCTGAGTTTTCCTGATTTTTTATGTTTACCCCATAGCCTGATCGTAATGGTATATATCTCAGATAAGTTCACAGAAGTTCATTTCAATAATAATAATAAGGTCTAATAACTACAAAAAAAAGCTAAACAGAATACCTTCTCTGTGGATTATACAGCAATTTTAATACAGTTAGTGTATGAAAGAAAGATTAATAATAACTACCTTTAAATTGTATGATTAGAACTAATTGCCTTAATTTGTTTGCCTATATATTTTTCTATAAATCACATGTAATACTTTTGTTAAAGGACAAAAGTGCTGACTGATACATATGGAAGGAGTTTGTAGAGTTGAAAAATCACCATTTTGTCAATCATAGAAAAGATTGGGTGGGGTAGGCACCATAAATAGTTGAAAAATCATAAGGCTCTCTTCCCTGATCTCTAGACTTTCACTCAGTTGCCTTTCTATTATTTTCTCTTAAATGCCTATGATGCATCTCAATATATCTAAAACTGATCTGATATGCCTCCCTTCCCAAACTTCTCTTGCAGGTTTCTGAACTTTTGGAAATGGTAACTACCAACTGCTTAGACCTGAAATCCTACGACTCCTCATCTTTTACACCCTATAAGGAATCCACCAGCAAATCTGCAAATCTTGTCAGCTCTACCTTCAAAATGAGTCTGGAATCCAATCGTTTCTCATAATCTCTACCATTACTACTGTGGTCCAAGCCACTATCACCTTTCACCTGATTTGCAATAACCTCCTAAGACTGTCTGATTCTGTTTTCCTACTTCCATCTCAGCATTTGTGACTCACGTTATACTTCTACTGAACAATCATGATCTAAACCATTCATTTTTACCTATCTATCTATGTAAATAACCAACCAATGACATATTTATGCACACCTATTATTTACCAAGCACTACTCAAGGCACCGAGAATATAATGGTGAGGATGAACTGCTATGATCCTTTGCAGAGATCACATTGACCAAATAATCACACACAAAATGTAAAACTCAAATGTAACAAGCCATAGTTAAGAAAGGTACACCATATGGAGAAAGCCTATAATAAAAGGACGTAACCTAGTTAGGGGAAGGCTTCCAAGAAATAATACTTCAGCCAACAGAAGGATGAAATGAAATGAAGAAAGAAGGCCCTAACAGGTTTGGCTCAGTGGTTAGAGCATCAGCTTGCAGACTGAAAGGTCCCAGGTTCCATCCCGGTCAAGGGCATGTACCTTGGTTGCAGGCACATCCCCAGTAGCAGGTGTGCAGGAAGCAGCTGATCGATGTTTCTCTCTCATCCATGTTTCTAACTCTCTACCCGTCTCTGTAAAAACAAACAAAAAAAAAAGTATCCTTCCCAAGATATTTAAAAAAAAAAAATGAACAAAGAAGGAAAACATTCAGCATGTAACCTGGTTGGAGTGGCTCAGTTGGTTGAGCATCCTCCTGTACACCAAAAGGTTGCTGGTTCAATTCCCTATCAGGGCAAATACCTGGGCTGCGGGTTCAATTCCCAATTGGGGCACATAGGTGGTAGGCAAACTGCGGCTCGCGAGCCACATACGGCTCTTTGGCCCCTTGAGTGTGGCTCTTCCAAAGCCTTAGGAGTACCCTAATTAAGTTACTAACAATGTACCTACCTATATAGCTTAAGTTAAAAAAAATTTGGCTCTCAAAAGAAATTTCAATCGTTGTACTGTTGATATTAGGCTCTGTTGACTAATGAGTTTGCGACCACTGGGTTAGGCAACCAATCCATGTTTCTCTCTCTCCCTTCCTCTCTCTAAGCAATAATTGCGGGGAGGAGGGGAGTGCATGTAAAGATCTAGGGGCCCAGCGGTGTGGCTCAGTGGTT